CGTGGTAACCTACCTGGTGACATGCGTAACACATGTCCCAGCCAACGTAATCTATGGAGGTCGATCACTTGCTCCAGTGGGCGACCGTATTTACCCAAAACTCTGTCCCTAACCTCAGCATTGCGCATCCGGCTACCCCACCAGATTCGTGCAATGCTGCGTAGACAGCGGTGTTCGAACACCGACAGTCTATCTTTGTCCTGTTTTCTTAATGGCCAAGTTTCTGCACCGTATAGCAGGACTGGCCGAACTGTCGCGGCATACACTCGACCCTTCAGAGACAACCGGATGTCGCGACGGCGCCACATATGTCTCAAGTTAGCAAATGCCAACCGAGCCTTCTGTATGCGAGCTGACACTTCATCCTTAATACGTCCACCGGGTGAGATGTAGCTGCACAGATAACAAAACTTATCCACCTGCTCTATTACTTCTCCAGTAAGGGTGAGGTTGGGTGCTGGACCAACCCAGTCTTGTAGCAACATTTTACACTTTAAAGGTGCAAAAAGCATACCGAATATGGCTACACTGGCATTCAACTCATCCAGAAATGCTTGCAACTTACCTGTATCTTCACTTAGTAGCACAATGTCGTCTGCGTACTTCAGATCAGACAGCCTGCCACCTGGAAGTAAATCGATGCCATTATCCTCGCACGAGGATAGGGCTGTTTCCATAACCGGATCTATAACAAAGTTGAATAGTAAAGGAGAGAGAGGGCAATCCTGACGAACACCACTTTCCATGGTGAACTCGGGAGAAAAAGTGCCGTAAGCCCGGACTCGACTTCGGCTATTAGTATAAAGCGATCGTAATATTGAAATTAACTTCTCGGGCACACCTTTCAGAAAAAGGCAGCGCCAGAGTTTAGAGCGGTCGACTGGGTCGAAAGCCGCTTTCAGATCTAGGAAGATAGAGATGGTGGGTCTACGAAAAGAATGCCGATGCTCCAGAATTTGGCGGAGAGTGAAGATGTGGTCGATACAACCTCGACCGGGTCTAAAGCCAGCCTGGTTCTCACGCGTACACCGTTTACGTGCGGCAGACAATGGGCGGAGTATGATGCCAGCGAGAAGTTTAGAGGCGATGTTGATTAAACTAATTCCTCTATGATTTTCACAAGAGGATCTATCACCTTTCTTGTAAATCGGTATGATGACCGACTCACACCATTCAGCTGGAACCTCCTCTCTTTCCCATATTGAGCCCAGGAGTTTTGTCAACTCCAAGACTAACGCTGAGCCTCCATCCTTAAACGCTGATGGGAACAGCCCATCTGGGCCAGAGACCTTATGCCTTTTGAGAT